CTAAACTGAGATGTGAGATGTGAGAGTGCAATTTCCCCTTGTTTTGAGATGTGCATGCATCACACAGAAACCAAACACTTACCAATATATTAGGTGTCACACCAAGTGATAAATGATGATAATGTAAATGACTATATGCCAAGGGAGTGAATCGGTTACACCTGTAGGCCTGTGGTCATTGGTTTTGTGATTGCCCAGGGCATAATGAGCGATAGGCACCCAGTGTGGGTAAGCCTGATTTGTTTTGCCCTTTGTGTTGCATTATCTGGCTGACCTGTCACAGCTGTATCACAGGCAGGTTTATTGGATTTAGAGACCGGGCTGTCGCGGTTTACACCCACACATTTTGCCATCATGGGTGCTGATCAGCATTTCCTGTGTGATGTGTGTTTGTGAGTTACCATAGCATCGTCTCTAGTGTCTCTCAAACTGTGTGCTACTAATGTTCATGAGACAAAGAAGAATGAACTGAGGCTATCATGATAATATGAAAATAGAAAGAGACCTTATAGTACATTAGCTATATGGCCAAAAGTATTTGGACACCCACACATTTTAACTAAATGTAACTGTTTTATTCTGCTATAACAGCTCATGGGAGGCCGCTAAACAAGATTTTTGGAACCTGGCTGCAGGGATTTGCTCCCATTCAGCCACAAGAGCATTAGTGAGGTCAGCCACTGATGTTGGGTGATAAGGTCTGCCTGGCAGTCAGTGTTCCAGCTCATCCCAAAGGTGTACAGTGTGGTTAAGGTCTGGGCTTTGCACTGGAGGTCAGGATTTCACAAAGGGTTGTGACAAACAGAAATCTCAGGGGTTGTGAGAGTGTTGTGGAAAAAACACACATTTATTTTCAGACATTCTAAGTTTAGATTTTTGTTGTAAATTACAGGATGATTTTATTCCTTTTTGTTTTGAAAAATTATTAGAATATACAATATAACTGGGAGCAAAATTTTTTCTAATCATAACCCACCCTTCCCAAGCACTTTCCTGGCATTTATGCACTGCAGCACTACTTTTAAAATGCTGTTATTTTAGTTGATTTTATGTCTTCTGTCTTCTATTTTACCATTTCATTTATTTATTTATGTGAAGCACTTGGCACATGTAAATTCTTAGTTGTATAGCATTTTGCATGTTGAATTTCTTTTATGAAAGGTGCTATACAAAAACATTATTATTATTATTATTAATCATAATAATAATAATAATAATAATAATATCTACATAAAACTAATGAGGTGGTCACAAGTACACTTTTCTTTACTTTAAGGTGTGACAAGACAAAAATGATGGCAGGGTTTTCCCTTGTTTTCAGGGTTGATTTGGTCTGGGGGTCAGGGGGTGTTTCCCCAATAAAAATTGTTATTTGACTCAAAACTATGCATTTTCACATCATTGTGGACCATCATCATGACAATATTCATAACAAAGCAACAATACAGGTTGTGGTCCACAGCACACCCAGACAACAGCAAGAAAAGAGGAGGAAAAAGTGAAACAGAATTGCTCGATGATGGAGTAAGTATATCCTGAGGTAATCCATCACATTTTCGTGAGTGATCGCACTATGTGCTGTACAAAATAACATTGGTAAACCAAGAGCTTAGAGTGAATGGATTTTAACTATGATTTTCTATCTTCCCATAAGCATTAAACAATGTAACAGCGTTTGGCTATTCACCAAAATTCCTTTTTTAGTCAGTCATCTGTAGGTGGGTTACTTTCTCAGTGGGTATAGCCACTAAAGCCAACTGAGGCAATTTCTCTCACACTTTCATTCCCCTCTCAGAAGCCTTTTTTCTTACAGTTTTACAGCATTTTTCAGACTTTTGTCTTTTTGAGCTGTAATTCCTGCCGTTTTACAAATTTTCTCCCGGGTACTTTTCAAGACATCTGAGAGGCAATAAACTTGTTTTTGTCGCTTTATTTCGTCTGTGGCAGCAAAACACGTTATACCAGCCCTCAGAAGCTTCTGCAGGTTAAACAAAACACTTTTAGGGCCGTCTAAAAACTCACTATAGACGAACTTGAAAATGCTCACTAGCCTAGCAACAAGGCTACATCAAGCCATAATGCAACATACTGTAAAAGACCACAGTTACACATGCTGTCTCTGTTCGAGAGGAATATCTGATGTAATGAACATGTCATTTTCTCATCCTCAAATATAACATGGACCACTTTTTCAAACCTAATTTCCAGAAAAAAATATTGTCCTGTATTTGGGCCAGTATGGATATCTTCTCTCTCCAGAGTGTGTTCATTCAGTTTAGGTGCTGCATGAAAATGCTTTGGGTCTGTGCCCAAGTCTTTTAATGGAAGAGAAAACCCTGGTTGGGGACCAATGGTCTAAAGTATCACTGTATACTGTACAATTATGATTTAACTTAGGGGCTTGGCCAAACTCTGAATAACAGTCCCAGAAAAAAGTACACCAGCATATGTGGAAATGAGTGTCCACATTATTTTGGTCCTATAGTCGCTGTAGCTTACAAAGTGCATAATGAATATGAATACTTTTATTCTTAGTGGAGGCTATTTGATTTCTCACTGGACTACGAACACTGCAGTCATGTATTTTTCAGGGCCACAGGTAAGCTGCTTAACTCCACCTCTCGAAGTGGGACTAAAGAGAGAGGGATAATTCAATAAAATGCAGCTCTCACAAAGATCATGCCTTCTGGTATCCCCCCCCACCCCCACCCCCCCACCACTGAAAGCCACGACACCGCCTGAAATCTACAATGACAAAATGGACAGGCGTTGACTGGGGACGTGGCATTGAGGAGAATCAGGTCCCGGTGCACAAACTCATCGCGGCGCTCCCGCATCATCGCAGTGACAAGCCTCGGGAGCCGAGGACTGACACAGGAGGGAGAGGGAAACATTAATGTATCATTCATCTGAGCTCCACACCCTGCCTCTACTGCAGTATGAAAACATAACTGTAATGAAAATCCTATCGATCGGAGTCGCTTCCTTTTAGACAAATTGCACTGTTTTCTCTGCCTTTCCATTGCTTGGAAGGCAAATGTAAAGAGCAAAGATGAAAGCCCTCGAGACATCATCATCAATGCTCCATCATGACAGGCAGACCTTGTGCTACAGACGCAGCCTCCTGTAGACCGAGAACACCAAGGCATTAATCATAGAGACATTAATCAGCATTGAGAAAAAGCTAATTAATTAACATATTCAATGAGTAAACTGGCCACTGTTACTTTTATGCATTTTATCATTGCTTTTAACTGTTGGATGTTATATTATTTCTTGACAGTTATTAGGTTTATTTGTCCTACTTTGTGAAGAACTTTGTCGTTTTGAAAAGTGCTACATAAATGAAGTCATTATTCGTATTAGTAAGTTTATAATGTAGCATATAACTGACTCCCATTACAAAAATAACTGCTGTAATTTTCAAGGCCTGATAAGATAATGGGTATAGTGTGTGGCATTCCATTAAAAGAGGATTTCCAGCAGATGTCAAATAGGTTGTGAAACATCTTTTTTTCTGTAAACCTACGGCGTTTCAGTCTGTTCAAGTTAATGTTCACAGTCACCCCACCCCACCCCACCCCCACCCCCTTCCCTTAATCCACCTACATGTTTCTGGCGCCAGAGGAGGCCTCGTGGTTAGAGAGACCATCTCTGCTTTAATCTACCAACACCCCTGCAGAAGTGTCCTTGATCAAGACACAGCTACAGGGGAGCTACTCCTGGCTGCCCCTGTGTATTCACCCCTTTGCTTCAATGCAAACATGCAGCTCTCTGAGGAAAAAGCAAAAACACAAAAAAGAAAAGAAAAGCTCATTTCAAAACATCACTGCTCATGTCAGGGCGCCAAATTTTTCTTTTTTTTTTTTCACCATCCTTGAAGCTGTTCTCTTGGTTAGTTAGTCCTGCAATGTCTGGTCTCAGAGGCCTCAGAGGAATCATGACGGAAATTTTTGAAATTATCTCTGACACCATCACCCTTATCAGTGGTCATTAGGGAAAGGACAGACAAAGAAAACTATTTTAAAGTACTGCAACACATCCAGTTATGTGGTCCCTAAGGAGGCCTTTTGCAGAACTAACATGCATGAAGTGACAAGACAGACACTGAGTGCGGATAACCATCTTACCCGTGTGCAGTCCTCCTGAATTTCTAAATTAAAGATAGGAAGATAGCACAGCCACAATCTCTGCGTGGATCTTCATTCTCTGGTGAAGTAAAGGGAGACTGAGGAAATAGATCAACCCAGCATCTCAGGGGTCAAGGGTTTATTTAATGAAGTCATATCAATGATGCCTGCTCCTTCCGGTAATCATTGGGTGGTGTTTATATAGAGGGGCGGTTGTGAAGTTCAGGTAAATAACCACTGTACCGTTATAAATGCCACTCAAACCGTTTTTGTTACAATTATCTACTGAAGATCTTTTATGCNACCACTTTTTCAAACCTAATTTCCAGAAAAAAATATTGTCCTGTATTTGGGCCAGTATGGATATCTTCTCTCTCCAGAGTGTGTTCATTCAGTTTAGGTGCTGCATGAAAATGCTTTGGGTCTGTGCCCAAGTCTTTTAATGGAAGAGAAAACCCTGGTTGGGGACCAATGGTCTAAAGTATCACTGTATACTGTACAATTATGATTTAACTTAGGGGCTTGGCCAAACTCTGAATAACAGTCCCAGAAAAAAGTACACCAGCATATGTGGAAATGAGTGTCCACATTCTTTTGGTCCTATAGTCGCTGTAGCTTACAAAGTGCATAATGAATATGAATACTTTTATTCTTAGTGGAGGCTATTTGATTTCTCACTGGACTACGAACACTGCAGTCATGTATTTTTCAGGGCCACAGGTAAGCTGCTTAACTCCACCTCTCGAAGTGGGACTAAAGAGAGAGGGATAATTCAATAAAATGCAGCTCTCACAAAGATCATGCCTTCTGGTATCCCCCCCCACCCCCACCCCCCCACCACTGAAAGCCACGACACCGCCTGAAATCTACAATGACAAAATGGACAGGCGTTGACTGGGGACGTGGCATTGAGGAGAATCAGGTCCCGGTGCACAAACTCATCGCGGCGCTCCCGCATCATCGCAGTGACAAGCCTCGGGAGCCGAGGACTGACACAGGAGGGAGAGGGAAACATTAATGTATCATTCATCTGAGCTCCACACCCTGCCTCTACTGCAGTATGAAAACATAACTGTAATGAAAATCCTATCGATCGGAGTCGCTTCCTTTTAGACAAATTGCACTGTTTTCTCTGCCTTTCCATTGCTTGGAAGGCAAATGTAAAGAGCAAAGATGAAAGCCCTCGAGACATCATCATCAATGCTCCATCATGACAGGCAGACCTTGTGCTACAGACGCAGCCTCCTGTAGACCGAGAACACCAAGGCATTAATCATAGAGACATTAATCAGCATTGAGAAAAAGCTAATTAATTAACATATTCAATGAGTAAACTGGCCACTGTTACTTTTATGCATTTTATCATTGCTTTTAACTGTTGGATGTTATATTATTTCTTGACAGTTATTAGGTTTATTTGTCCTACTTTGTGAAGAACTTTGTCGTTTTGAAAAGTGCTACATAAATGAAGTCATTATTCGTATTAGTAAGTTTATAATGTAGCATATAACTGACTCCCATTACAAAAATAACTGCTGTAATTTTCAAGGCCTGATAAGATAATGGGTATAGTGTGTGGCATTCCATTAAAAGAGGATTTCCAGCAGATGTCAAATAGGTTGTGAAACATCTTTTTTTCTGTAAACCTACGGCGTTTCAGTCTGTTCAAGTTAATGTTCACAGTCACCCCACCCCACCCCACCCCCACCCCCTTCCCTTAATCCACCTACATGTTTCTGGCGCCAGAGGAGGCCTCGTGGTTAGAGAGACCATCTCTGCTTTAATCTACCAACACCCCTGCAGAAGTGTCCTTGATCAAGACACAGCTACAGGGGAGCTACTCCTGGCTGCCCCTGTGTATTCACCCCTTTGCTTCAATGCAAACATGCAGCTCTCTGAGGAAAAAGCAAAAACACAAAAAAGAAAAGAAAAGCTCATTTCAAAACATCACTGCTCATGTCAGGGCGCCAAATTTTTCTTTTTTTTTTTTCACCATCCTTGAAGCTGTTCTCTTGGTTAGTTAGTCCTGCAATGTCTGGTCTCAGAGGCCTCAGAGGAATCATGACGGAAATTTTTGAAATTATCTCTGACACCATCACCCTTATCAGTGGTCATTAGGGAAAGGACAGACAAAGAAAACTATTTTAAAGTACTGCAACACATCCAGTTATGTGGTCCCTAAGGAGGCCTTTTGCAGAACTAACATGCATGAAGTGACAAGACAGACACTGAGTGCGGATAACCATCTTACCCGTGTGCAGTCCTCCTGAATTTCTAAATTAAAGATAGGAAGATAGCACAGCCACAATCTCTGCGTGGATCTTCATTCTCTGGTGAAGTAAAGGGAGACTGAGGAAATAGATCAACCCAGCATCTCAGGGGTCAAGGGTTTATTTAATGAAGTCATATCAATGATGCCTGCTCCTTCCGGTAATCATTGGGTGGTGTTTATATAGAGGGGCGGTTGTGAAGTTCAGGTAAATAACCACTGTACCGTTATAAATGCCACTCAAACCGTTTTTGTTACAATTATCTACTGAAGATCTTTTATGCTGAGACAAAGCCCACATTACATTACTGTACCATTCATAAGAAGACACACAGCCTATTGTATGAACTGAGTATCTATCATACCTTTTAACCAATTAGTTATTAAAGAAACATTCAGCCACATTCTAAATTTCTTCAGTGTGAAGTACTTGTGTTAAAAGAGGAATTTCTGTTTTCACATTATAGAAATCAGAAGTGGGAGGTTAACTGAGCATCAGTTGCTATTTAAACCCAAAAACTCCATGACGAACTCTGCCAACTGGGGTGAAAATTTTTAACTGAGAAACCTCAGCTTCTACCGCTGCGCTACCAACTGTTCGTGGTGAATAACAAAATATGCATGTGTGTGTGGGTGGGGACAGTGTGAACAATCTTGTTTCTATAAACTTATCATGAACACAAACTTTGACAAATACAGAGGGAGAAACTTTTTGTTTCTTTCTTTTTCTTTACTGAAAGACTGAATGAATGATTTTCCAGGCTTTGTCATCCTGGAAGAGACCACTCCCAGCAGGACACAGATGTTTCATCAGAGGATAAAGGTGATCGCTCAGAACAACTTTGTATTGATTTGCAGCGACCCTTCCCTCAAAGGGGACAAGTGGACCCAAACAACCCCAGCAAAATATCCCCTCACAGCGTTACAGAGCCACTGGATCCCCTCACTGTAGGGGTCAAGTATTCAGGCCTGTACTATACTCTTGGTCTCACTACACATGCACTCTCCTTCTTGTGGAGGAAAATGGTGAAGGATGACTCATCTGACCACATTACTTTTCCCCCCACATCTCTGTAGACCAGTGCGTATGGTTTTTGCACCAATGAACTCCCAAGATGCGCATTCATCTTTGTAATGAGGGGGTTATGCACTGCGACCCTTCTATCATATCCCTTCTCTATGTAACCGTCGATGGACTGTTCTTGCTGACACAGTCTGATCACGTCCTACGTTGACATTCTCAGTCACCTGAAGAAGAGCTGTTCCTCTGTCTGTCCTTACATATCGCACTAATGCACGAGCATCACGGTCGTCAAATGTGCCGACCACAATTTCCGACCCTATTTGCTGACGTCTTTCCCGTAGATCTAAATGCAGATATCACTTTAGTCGCTGTTACTACTGAAACACGAGCCAGCTGAGCAGTCCTGACTGAAGCTCCTGCCATTTGTGCCTCAACAAAGAACCCTCTTTCAAAGTCACTTAGATCTTTTCTTCTCTCCATCCTGATACAAAGTCAGAATCAACTGGGCCTGCTCATTAATTTTTTATACATGCCACAGAGCATGGTGTTAATTGCTTAATTGTACCATGCAGTGCACCTGTGTCGAAGTATCTGCGTTTGATAAGTTTCTCCACTCATTTATTCAGGTTTTTTTCCTTAAATTTGTCACTTGTCCGTATATGTGTGTTTAAAAAAAATTATGAAAAACACACACCCACTCTCACTCTCATATGTGTATATCAGTTTGTGTGTATTGATGAATGGGGCATTCATGGTAACACAGAGCAATAAAGCCATCAGTAAAAATGAAAAAATAAGCCAGAATTGAGGATAAACTGACACAGGAGCTTTGACGGCAATCACCCAACATGCAGGGGAGTTAAGCAGGGTATTACAGCTGAACCTGCAGCTTCTGTAGGGAAACTTAGACACATGGACCCACATACATGCTGTAACCTAGGAACTAGAGAGGGTGAAGGGATAATGACACTCTGCCTTTGAAAACAAACAAAAAAAAAAACAAAAAAAACAAAACCGGTCAAATTTTATGATTGTAAATATTAAATATCTTAAATTATCAGATAATTCTGTTGAATACTTCTCGTTCTGTCAGAATCATTAGCAGCTACGGCACAGAAAGGGAACGATTTCTTGACACTGGGAGGGCTTGCATTTCCAGGCTCATGTTTTGACTCCAAGTGTCATGAAGACACAGATTTAGTGTGACAATGCTGATGCCAGCCGTTGTACTCCTGCAATGCTTTGCAGAAACATGGCACGTTCAACATTCTGACTTTGCGCACAATATTCCCCAAGACTCGAATTAACAATGTGGAAAAATAACATTTCTACTCAGAATAAAAAGGAACTGAGAGAGGGCATTTCACAAAGAGGAACTTCTCTAGAGAACATTTTTGTTTTATGAGTCAACCTTGGACAAAAACAGTGATGCTTTACCAAAGGGAGTAGAACGCTGAATTCAACTACATCCTGCAGACTGACAGCTAAAATGGAGCATAACTGTCAGTCACTTGTCTCCTCTTAGTCTGGGGGCTATATGTGCTGCTTAAAATAATGAGAATACACAGTAAAGAAACAATTTTGGTATGTGAGAGCTTGTCTTTTAATCCAATTAGTTTTGGAACAGCCAAACATTCTGTATACTAGGATTGCTTGCAAAAAGACAGAAGACCACCGAGATAACAAAAAGCTGGCTTTCAATACATGTTAGTTTATGGACTCATAAGTAGCAACTGTAATTTAAAAATATACTTAATGCTGCTATGCTTCATCACCATCTTAAAGTGTTTAGTGCCCACACCAGAAAAACACGGCACTCTGTGACAGCAACAGAGATTGAATGAAGATCAAGTCGCTACACTCCTGCTGTTTCACTCATATTTTACTATTGACAGTAACACAGCAAAAAATACCATTTTAGATTGATTACTGGCAGGATAATTCAAATTTGCATATAATAAAAATTAATTCAGAAGCAAGTGATTATCAGGGAAAATATTCAACTCAAAGTCAATTGAATTTATTCATTTCCATAGCCACAGGAAAATTACAAATTATTCTTCATAATATTTCATTTTGTTGTTATTCTGCATATGGTTTTGTTTTGTTAACATGCTCACCTTTTGAATTAACTTCATGAATAAAACAACACAAAAAAGGGGGAAGAATACAAAACCACAATTTGATTTTTCTCCCTATCGTTTCTTAGTTTTAATAGTTTTAACAGCTTTATATATTGAAATATTACATTTACATGCACATGAATGTATGTGTGTATGTGTGTCGGGACCAGTAGTCCTCATAGGGACAAAAGCCTGGTCTTAATGAGTCAAAACATCTTTTCTAAGGTCCTGGTTAAAGTTGGGGTTTGGGTTAGGCTGTCAGCAAACGGACAGAGTCAATGCAATGTCCTAACAAGGATAGCTGCACAAACTTGTCTGCGTGTTTATATTTGTGTACAGGCATGTATTTGCTGTACTATTCATTCGACACGTTTTCTCTTTCTTGGTGAAGGAACCAGCCAGCTTAGCTTCAAGCACATCACCCTATAATTGTTCCTTGGTTCATATCTGTCATGACACTTCTATAGGTCTGCAGCCGCTGTCACAAACCACAGCCTGCAGCTCTAATGGGGTCGCTCTATTTTTTCCTCAGTATCTCATACAACCAGCCTTTGTTCCTCATAGCACAATCTG